AAGCCGGAGTAACATCAACTACAAATAATTTTTCGAAAACAAAAAAAAGATGGCCACATGTCCATTCACCTTTGACCTGTTAATTAGAGATCTTTAAGTTCCTTATTTATATACATACAGTGGTGGTCACATAATTAAAGACACTCCCTAATTGACCACAAAAAACTTACTTATGGTACTAAAATTAGTTAAAATTGGTATTTAATCTAGTGTAATTGTTATTAAACTATACACGACTTTATATTCTTACAATGTGGGACAAAAAATAGTTGTGTTCGTTAGTAGTTTAGACACTGCTCACTATGGGAATATAGCACAAACTTTTTTAACGTACTTGTAGCTGGCCAGCTAATTAAAGATAGTAAAAGCTGTATTCTGAATTTAAAAAAATGAAGAATGAAGTGCATTCTGTTTTGCTTTGTTTTGTCGCGTATTTTCATGAAACGGCGATATTACATATAAAACCTATTTTTTTTATTATAATTAATACGTTTTAAACCCAGCTATATGGGAAAAAACAAGAGTTGCGATTCGTCCACTAGGAAGATTATTTTCAACTTTCATAATAAAGATTGGTCATACAGAAAAATAGCAAACCACTTAAACTGTTCTAAGGACATGGTTATGAATGCTATAAAACATTTCAAGAAGTTCAACACGACCGCAAACGTACCAAGAAAACGTAAAAAAAAGAGACTAAGAAAAACTACTCAGCGGGAAGACTATAAGATGGTGTTGATGGCAAAAAAAGATCCATTCAAGGGATCAGAACTGATACGTTCGGAGTTGTTTGATGCAGGAGGGTCGAAGGGTGTATCTGCAAGAACAATTAGACGGAGACTATGTAGGCATACGGAAGACTGTCTCGGAAGGTGCCTCTTTTGAAAAAGCAAAATGTTAAGGCAAGATTAGCATTTGCTAAAAAATATGTACACTGGACTGAACAAGAATGAAAACATGTGCTTTTCTCTGATGAAACAAAAATTAATACTATTAATTCTGACGGAAAACAATATGTTAGACGCCGAACAAAGAAATGGATCCAAAGTAAACCCAAAAAGTAGTTAAACATGGGAGCGGTAATATCAAAGTCTGGGGCTGCTTCTCAGGACTTGGTGTTGGACCTGTCAGGAAAATAGAAGGCAACTTTACCGGTCATTTGGACTTTCCAACAGGATAATAATCCGAAACACACTGCAAAAGAAATAAAAACTTTTTAAGGAACCAGTCTGTGACAGCTTTGGATTGGCCCCCGTACAGTCCTGATTTAAACCCAAGAGGAAATTTGTGGTACCAGATGAAGAAGACAGTGTCGACAAAACGGACATCAAACATCGATCAACTTTACACAGCTTTTAGAGAAGCTTGCAAGCATATTCCGGTGGAAGTTTGTAAAAAATTTATCGCTTCCATGCCCAAGAGATGTCGTGCTGTCATTTCTACCAAAGGACATGCGACCAAATATTGATACGTACCTGAAAGTTTTATAAATGTGTTAGGAATATTGTGTAATAAAGATAATTTCAATAGTATTTTTTTTTCTATTTCTTCTCTCATTCTTAATTAGCTGGCCAGCTATAAATACGTTAAAAAAGTTATTTTATTGTTGTTACGTTCCCATAGTGAGCAGTGTCTAAACTACACACATCAAAAGTGTCTAGGGATCAACATATATTTTTGCAATAACTTTTCTCCTGATTGATATTAATTAAAATTTTCTTTAAGGATTCATCAAATAAAGTGTTTTCGTTTGTCACAGTAACGCTAAAGTCACCTTTGCATTAATAAAGAAATTTGCCATTTTCCTAATAAAGGGATTTTTGACATTTGAACCACTAACACAAAAGTTCGAAAAAAAGACTGAAATAACAGTTTTCTCTAAAATTTTATTGGGTAACTTAAACAATTAATAATCCGTATTTCTACCGCGAACACTAACAACACAAGAACATCGGTTTGGCATACTCAAAATGAGTTCATCCAAATCACGCTGTGGAATGGCCGCCCATGTTCGTTGCAACAACAAAAAAAGGTCTTCTTGCGACTGGATACCCTCCATATTCGGCAGAGCTCTTCTCTGTAGCATATCCCATGCATGCTCAATCGGGTTCAAGTCTGGCGACTGAGCAGGCCAGGGCAGGACATTGATGTTAGCTGCGGCGAGAGTCTGTCTTACAACTCTTGCGGTGTGCGGTCGTGCATTATCATGCATTAACTGAAATAAGGGACCGATTTGCACTTGTAGAGGAACGATGACGTCTGATACAATCGTCTCAGCATAAATTTGAGCGTTGAGGTTGCCTCTGATCCAAATCAACTCAGTTCTTCCGCCGTTCCAAATACCCGCCCATACCATGATGGTTCCACCACTATAAGGATGGACTTCCTGGCAGGATTTTAATCGCTGTTGGCGTCCAGGGGTTCTCCAGTGTCGTATACGTCTTGTATCCGGTCTCATACCAAAACGAGACTCATCAGAAAAGCACACGAAACGCCATTGTTCTTCTGCCCAATTTCTGTGTTCAAGAGCCCATTGATATCGAATCCTACGATTGTGCATTGCTATAGGTGGTACCCGTAGCGGTCTTCGGGAATGAAGGTTCACTTCATGCAAGCGGTTTCTGACTGTTTGGTCGCTAATTAAGTTCCCTGAAGAGTGATGAAGCCTCACGGCTAACATCATGGCGGTTATTGTTGGAGCTCTTCGAGTTAAGATTTGAATGTATCGGTCTTGTCTCCGTGTGGTGCAGCGATACCGTCCTCCATGGCGCTCAGCCACGGTACCAGTGCTTCGGTATCGTGTCCAAAGTCGACTGATAACACTCTGACTTGTATTCAGAGCTAAAGCCACAGTACGTTGCCGGGAACCAGCTTCTATCATTCCCACGGCTCTGAGCATTTCTTCCCTGCTTAAATGACGTCGCCGCTCCATAATAACGTTGGTTTTAATCAGTAGTAGGGAAACAGTAGCACTAATAATGTCTTCAATGCGTTGTATGTTTTTATAGGGAAAATATTGACAGCTGATTTTCATCTTTTACTCGAATTTGATTCACAGTTCCTGATTCAAATTATGAAATGCACCAAAAAGGATCCATATAAATTTATAAAATCATAAATTTATTACAAAGCCACATCTCAATCTCAAGAAATCCGCATAAAAATGCTTGATCCCTAGACACTTTTGATGTGTGTACTAACGAACACAACTATTTTTTGTCCTACATTGTAAGAATACAACGTCGTGTATGGTTTAATAACAATTACTCTAGATTAAATACCAATTTTAGCTAATTTTAGTGCCTTAAGTTTTTTGTGGTCAATTAGGGAGTGCCTTAATCATGTGACCACCACTGTATAATAAAATGGTAGGAAAGTCAAAACTGTACATTGAATATTTTTTTAATAGAATACTTGGGGTGTGATCTACAATCGATACCGAAGCCAAAAATATAGTTCTTAGAATTTTTGTATGTTTGTCTGTATGTATGTCCGGGATAAACTCAAAAAGTACTGCATGGATTTACTTCAAATTTGGCACGAATATTATTAAGAAGTCGGGTCAACATATTATCGCGCTATCACCTACGGGGAACGAGCAGTGAACCTTTATTTCTAACTCAACGCGTACGAAGTCGCAGGTGGCCGCTAGTATAAAATAAACTCGTAAAATAACGAGTACATTTATGTCCCGAAGTACAACACGGCGCAGCGATTGTCAAACTCCAGCCTGGGGTTTGGGGGACATTTGTTTACCTTGTACGGTCGTAGTTCGCACTTTGTGTGGCTTGTGATTCACATATGGGATGCAAGGCAATTAAGTTTGGATGCCATGTGTAATTGATTTTGAAATGACCGCATAGATGGCTGCGACTTCCGAAAAGTATGTTTAATTTTGCGAACTAATTTGGAGTGGCAGAAATTTATGTAAATAATAAAGAAACTTTTGAACAGGAAAATATAAATATAATTATTATTATGAATTTATGCATACAATAATTATTTACTTTTCGGATCTTATCAGCATATGTCAAGAATTATGTATGCATCAAGTAAAGATGAAACAATAAAGCCCTTATGTGGTAAATTTTTCTACTTTAATACGATTTCTTATTAATCGATCAATTTACATTCAACTATGTTAAAGTAATGTCAACCTCAATATTATAACAGAATGGTCGTTGTGTATTTGTAAAACATTATTTTTCAGGGTTATGATCTGTCTATGTCTTTTCACGAGTCTTTTCATTTATTTCAAAGACCTGAGAAACATATTACAAACTATCTTGAAATAGACATACAAGCTGGCTGATATCTAAGCATAAGAAGACTAGCCGTCCCGAACTTCGGACCGTCGAACAGTATGTTATATTGATATTTTTAGCTTAGTTAAATTGACGATTTGTGAACCGAAATAAAACAAATACAAAACAAGTTCAATAGTTAATTAGGATGATAATTATGGAAACAAATAAAAATCTATTTTTGGAAACTAAAACCGAATGGAGTATAAATTGTGTTATGTTAAAATGAAAACTATGATATTGATACTTCCTAAGTACAGTGTTTAAGTTATATTCATCCTCTCCTTACAAAAATATCGACTTATGATCTATGTCTTATGATTAGAGCATTTTCTTTATGTTTACTTTCAAATGTTTTGTTTCAAATATCTATAATGTAGTTTCTGATTTGCAGTCAAGCTTTGTGCATGCGTGACGACAATAATCATGAAAGATGGCGGAATACCAAATCGCATTTATTTATTGGAAATGGATTTTCAGGATTTGCTGCATAACTTTTCCGTGAATTTTTCGAAATCTTAATAGTTTATTATTATATTATAATTATTATTTGTTCGGGGTGGGTGAAAAAATTAGAAAGTGTTCTAACTTACATCGTGCAATTTCATCGTTTATATTGAAATTCACTCAGTTATTTACTTACTCGCGGCAAATAATGAGGGCAGCGTCATGTTTCTGACATATATAAGGCTGTATATGAAAGTAATTAGGCAATGCACGAGGCTCGGGTGCCGGGAGGGTAGGAGAGGGGCAGGGAGGGTAGTCGGTCGGATCCGGAAGCGCGCCGGAGATGAAGGCGCGATACAATATCCGGTTAGACGCCATTTCCGCCGCGAGACGACGCCTCGTGTGTGCGCGGATCGGGCGGCCGATGATGTGCCGGTGATTCCGTATTGACGATTTGTGGATTGCTCTGTTCACCTAATTCGCTGATGGATTGTTTCACGCACAGAAATAAATCATTTATATCTGTGGTTTCTCGTGTTTCCATTCCAAATGTTTTAAGAGTTTGATGAATTTTGTTATAAATGTTTTAGAAATAAAGCGTTCCAATCTATTCAGAACTTTTAATGTTACAATATTATTATGCATGTCAGCGAATGGTAGCATTTTGAAGAAAATCGTTTGGCATTCACTCATTAAAAAAAAAAGATATTCGGACGCATAATCTTTAGGTATAAATTTAATATCCACTATAAAAAATTTGAACCAAAATAAAACAGAAAGTTATTATTATTATTTGAACTTTATTGACACAATTGCAAATGCCAAAATGGACAAAAGGCGGACTTAACGCTAAAAGCATTCTCTGCCAGTCAAAATTTATGAAACAAAAAAAAACAAATGCGGCTATAGTAAATAAAGTAATTAGTTAAGAACATACCATAATAAAAAGTACTCACGCACTCTACATTTTTATTTATAATAAATAAATATATATGCACACGATACATATACCCACATACATGCATAACTACATATGTAATATGTGTGAGTTTTATTAGTCCTTTTTAGTCTTATCATCGATAATGATAGTAAAACTATACCTCCCACGTAAGGTGTTGTATACCCAAAACTGCAATTTTATGAATACAAAAAGGTTTATGAATGTAACGTGTATTCTTGACTATATATTAAAACATTTTAAAAATATGCACAGTTTTTGAGATATTGTTCATAGGTACAATATTTTATTGCGGAGTAGGTGCAGGCTGTGCCAGTTGCTGTATCTCCTGCTAACAACATTATACCGCGGAGTTTACATGACGTAATTTGTTGTTAGTCCAAGATCCCAGTGCCACCAGACCTACCTCATTTTAGCAAAGCTAAAATTTCCATGATTTATAGTCTAGTATGTAGTTAGGAGAGTATGCGTACTTACTAGCTCGAAAGCGGGGCCCTTTCACAGGTAGCGCGAACTAAAGGTGTTTCAAAACTGTACTCACCTACGTTAAAGTAGAAAGCCTCATATTTAAATATATTTTTGACAATATAATCAAAAATAGGTAATCGTTATTGCCAGACCGTTTCTGTGGGCCATTACTTCCGCCAGACGTTATAAAGATTGTTTAAAAATTAGGTAAACTACGTCATTTTAGCAAGCCTAAATTTGACATATATAACTACGTGGTACTATTTCCAGACTTTTTGTAAGCAGCCAGACCAATCCAATGGGCCAATTATTCTCCCAGACACCTCAAAGTTTTCCAGTGAGTGAGAGCGTGAGGGCGTTATTCGTGCTCTTTAATTCGAGTGAGAACACAACATGGCTTTATAATGCAGATAATTAAAATGATGGTTATATTATTTATTGAGCTTGATTAAAATTTTAAATAAATATAGTTATGATCATTCACAGATACTTAGATCAAATAAATTTAAAGCTATAGGTATGTATTATTTTTTATTAAAATTTTGATTGAAAACGTGAAACACTGATTTCAAAATCAAGTATGTATGTATGTGAAGAAAATCTAAGTTAAGCACCATAAAATACATATTATAAAGCAAAATAAATTACATACTAAATTATTCTATAGGTACCACGCATTCTATTCGATAATAGTTATTTATTATACAAGAGTGGAAAGTTCCTTTTTAACCGCGTGCTCGATTTGGATGACCGAGCAAGCGAAGGAAACAAACGAGCACAAGGTGAAAAATCTTTCCACTCGAGTGCAATACGTAACTTTTCATCCCACCTCAGCGAGGAAATGACAAAATGAAAAAGAAAACAATTTATAATGACAAAATATTTAAGCAATAAAACGTGAAAAACTAGAATGGCGCGAAGCACGCAAATAAAACAAAGAAACCAAGAAGGTTCCAAATTTAAATTTTTTCACAATTTAAAAAGTTCTAATCATAAATTTGGCACCATAGAGGTTACATTAAATAGGTTTAATGACGTTTTGAATTTACAATTATATTGAGTACTCATTATATGTGATGTTCTAAATTCAAATCTACTTTGCCGCTCAAGCGAATAAAATAGAATTTTCCAGCCAGATTTCGAAGCGCAAAATTACACTTTCCGAGGTGGTGGGATGAAAAGATATTTATATATAACGTTTTTATGAATGTTGCAGTAAAAGTAACTAACATTTATTTAATAGGTTTAATAGAATCATAAAAGGTCAACATTATTGAACAATAATTTAAAAAATATGAGTTTATTACTAATTGGTATGAGATTAACTAAAATCAATTTAACTGGAAATCAGGTAACCATTAATATTAGCATAATTATCCTCATCTGGTTTCGTTGTTAAAAGGGAAACATTTTGAAAACTTATAACTGTTATGTAACTTTCAAAATTAATCTTTCAAAGTATAATAATGTAGACAAATAAAAAATTTAGAATTGTAAGTTTTATAAGAGCCCTAAAGATTAGACTAAAATCTATATATTTCGCACTCTCCTCATACATTTTTTGTATAAAATGAGAAACACAGTTCAGTACCTGATTAAATCTACGCTTAGATTCAACAAAGTAAAATATTATACCGACTACCTCGACTAGAATTATAAGCTAATATTCAATTGGCCATAAGATGCATAAATTATATTTAGGAAATTAAAGGTAGCAGCGACGAATTTACATTGGAAATATTTTATTTTATAATTGTCTAAGTAAGACTGCATGTGTTATTGGGATAACTTCTTGTTTATCTTTTTCATCTGTAATTTGCTGTTCTTAAAACTGTCAATATTTCCATAAATTTTAAAATTGATAACACTGATCTTTCTTTGGTAGATGAGTTTAAAATACGTCGATATTATTATTCACATTCAGTTTTATCTTTATGTTTTGTAATACTAAAGCTACTCATTAAGTATAAATTTCAAATGATGATTTCAATATCTAGCCAAACATATTTTTATTGATCTTTACTTCTTTTTATTTAAACTGGCCGGAAGTTCTTGATGTGGTCATACAGAAAAACAGAATCTGTCTTTTTTTAAAGAATAGCTTAACAGTCTTCCTCTTTGGTCTAGAACTTGTACTCCCGTAGTCGTATCCATTTACTATACAGCCTTACTATTTACTTGATCTCTGACAGACACACAGTCGTACTTAGAAACATCAAATTAATTTAATGCTTAATTATATCACGTGTTGCCTCATTAATGTAATAAATTGTTGCTTCTTAAAATACAATAAAGTTTTAAATAACAACTTCCGAAGTAAAATGTTGTATTTATTAAATATAACACTTTTATTTTATTTTAATGTAAACGTAAAAAGTAATATATATTACATACAACCAACAACATTTTAATGAACGCTCAAGGACATATACTATTGTAAGTAATCTATACAATATTTTAGGTAGGTAGCACAACAAAAATGTAACATTATTTTATTAACGCTATTAAAATAAAACAGATAAATACGTAGCTGTGATATTTCGGGGGCTTGAATCATGATGGTTAAGAACTTGTACGTTTCTTTGTTAATGTGAAGTAATTAAATTACCTATGTAAAATAATATCGAAAATACTTAAGCGCTTCCTACGTACGAATAGGCGGTTGAAAGTCCGGCGTAGTCTGTTGTATTTGACTGACTAGCAGCCGTCCACGACTTCGTACGCGTGGAGTTAGAAACAAAGGTTCACTGCTCGTTCTCCGTAGGTGATAGCGTGATAATTTGTAGCCTATATGTTGACCCGATTTGTTAATAATATTTGTGCCTTTGAAGTAAATCCATGCAGTACTTTTTGAGTTTATCCCGGACATACATACAGACAAAGAGACAAAAATTCTAAAAACTGTATTTTTGGCTTCGGTGTCGATTGTAGATCACACCTCAAGTATTCTTTTAAAAAAAATCAATGTACAGTTTTGACTTTCCAACCATATTATTATATGTAGATATATATAGATGACGTGTGCACGTGTTCATTTTTGTGGCTTACTACAAGTTACGTGGGAGGTATCGTTATAAGTTTAAAGTTAGTGCGGAAAGCTTTCCAAAAGTATTGCATGAACTTTTGACTTCTTTTGGCATACAAATATGTTTCAATACCTAACCTAACCCGATCAACGAGTTAGAAGAATATTTTAATCATTTGAGATTATTTTGATATTTTAAAAGGATGGCAAACAATCGTATTAGCTACATAGACACTTGCATAGGTACCTACTAGGGGACCACTAAGTTAGTGGTCTAAATGGGAGTAACCCTTATTCCGTCGAGCTCTATAAACCTTAAGCACTTAGGAACACTACAAAAAGTGCTTAGCTGTGCTTTTCGCACAATTATGCCAATTTCACGTAGATTTCACTGTACTTATGTCTTTTGTGTTGAATTCGTTATTGCCATCACAACAAGGTTTGGACGAAAGATTGGTACTGAAAAATCTACTAAAACTATTAAATCGGAATCGAAATCGGAAATGGAAATGTTGTTTTACGTATTGATATCTCATCAATTCTCAATTTATCCATATTTACCTACTATATACTGCATCTGTATCTGTTTGTATTAATATGTGAAGGCGGCTAATAGGCTACCACTACTTATTATGATTATGTAATTTGAAAAGCTTTTGCGCTTCAAATGAAAATTAGCCTCTTAAAACTGTAAAGCGCTTTGAGCAGCCGAAGTGGCACTTCCGGACCGCGATCGAAAAAATCGACGTGTCCTTTCGCATTGCGATGGGCCCGATAAGGCATGGCCTGGTCTGGCCCGGTCCTCTATGCCCTTCCTTACCTTTGTTTCGGAAGAGGGAAATAGGATTGAGGATTAAGCTTTTACGTAATTTAGTCTCCGATGAGAGCTATCTCTCTTTTGTCGTCTTGAGCCAAGGACTTAATGTTCAGCAAATGCTTGATGCGAAGACGCTTTTGTTTTTAATATAGATATAATATCGTTTATTTATTTATTATCCCTGAAAATAGTTATTAAATTAACAAATTATCCCACTTTCTCCTTATAGTATAAATGTGAAAGTTTGTGTGTCATATTCAATTACACAAAAACTATTGAATGGATTTGGGTGTCATTTTTCGCAGGCGGCGGCTATTACCATTGATATTATAAATGATGTGAATATTAAAATAGCTTGGCCCTTTAGACATTGTAATTTCTTAGTTTTCAAAATATCACTGAATTTATATATCCAACAATTATTATAACTATCGGAAACAGTGGTTATTTAATTCTAGCCCGCTTTTGCACTGATGCATTAAACTATTGACAAATTAAGAAGTAATAGATAAAGATGCAATACAAAACATCTAACCCATTTGCCGAACTTTCTGGTGGTTTCCAGTAAGTTTTTCAAAAAACTGGTCACTAAAACCCATTTCATGACAATAAACAACACGAGAAAAATAAAACATTTTGGCGCTGTCTTCGTCAGTTATGCGTGGGTATACATCATCATTTTGACCCCAATTAAAATTTTGATGATATCGTACTATTTCTTCTTATATTTCTTTTTTCTTATTTCACCTTTCACATTTTGATGTTTTGTTGAAGCACATGTAATTTTATTTTAAACTATTATAATAACTAACTTAATGAATAAGAATTCACAGGAAAAGTCACACGATTAAGTCATAAAATTGATCGAGCATCAAAATTGAGCTCATTCAAAATGCTCAGTGACGATTACATTCTGGAATCCATTAAATTCTAAATCCATCTAAGCATCGAACATTATGAAAGGATTAATTCAATCCGCTCCGCTTTCAGAGTGTCTGGGCCTATGTATAGGTTGTACATGCAATAATAATTATTCGGCGGCGTGTTGCGATAATACAGATTTAGATAGAGCACCGACTGAGGAGATAACCCCTTACATAGCTCAGAGCACATAGCGCCCGCCACCCACGGTATAGACAGCAAAATAAACGCGTCTTCTTTTTGTAACATAATTATACGTCTCGTTGAAATTACTTTTACGGAAATACGCCGTTTGCCCAGTCTTTCTTCTTTTGTGCTAAAATCCTCGGGAAAATTAAACTAATAATGGTGTTATGTTATTATTCATAATGGTCAACGCATTCGCCCGGATAGCGAAGGGTGCGGGTTCGAGTCCTGTCTGCTGCCTGGTCCGAGTGGTTTTTTTTTCCAGTAAATTTTTCTTTAGATTTAAACATCTAGCAGTTAAATACTTAAAAAATAAAGACATAACTAGAATTGCTATTTATTCTTTCAAATGTTTAATACTTGTGAAAGTATTTATTTCACATTGGGTTACCTACAATGCAATGAGAGGGCGCTGCCTTGCATCTAAAGGAACACTAGAGAGAATTTGACACGGTCATCACGGCCGTGGTTGGTAGCATAACGGTCAGTGCATTCGTCCGATAGCGAAGTGTGCGGGTTCGAGTCACGTCTGCTGTCTGGTCCACTTGGATTTTTTTCTAGTAAACTTTTCTTTATTCTTTACTAATGGTGTGTTATTTTTGGATTTAAATAAATACCTATATTTTGAAAACAGTGACTTTTGTTTTGATGCGCAGGTAAAAGGTACTCGTTATTAAATAATTACAGATAATAATAGTTAGTTAACAATTGTAAAATCAAGTAAATGACAAGATATTTTAATGGTTGATCTAATTAAGTAATTAGAAAATAGAAATTTTGGGTACTACATAGTTAAAAATGAATAGCTTTTTAATTACACATTTTTGATGTTATTGCAAAACATAGTTGATTACATCGAGTATATAAACGTCGGCAACGAAAATAATAAACACCAGTTGTGTTAGTTACGTTGAAACAACTCTAGTAAAACATGAAGACCGTAAGTTAGTTTTTTATATATATTGAATATTGTGTCCTAAGAAGGTACATATTTTTAAATTGCGTTCCTCATTTCTACAATTATTATTGAATTCTTGAACTTTGTTTGTCTCTTTTAAATTATTTGTGTTTTTTACGAGAGAATTTTCTAATTTTCTTCATTCTATGTACTCTACAACAGCCCTATCAATCTACAAGTACTATATTAAAGATCTGTGGAAAAGTCAACAATTACAAGCGATTTTTGAGCTTCGTCCTATCATTTAAATTTTGTTATAACTAACCGACGCTAGAAGGGTGAGCTGCGAGTTGCCTTCCCTAACCCCTTACTGTTTTCCTGAGATATTTACCGCTCAATTCCAGCGCAAAGTTTTTTGCGGCATTCCATAATCTTTAAACCGTTTCTTGATGATGATCTGACTTTATTTTACTTTATTTTCCTTCGTTCTCCAGTTCCTGGTTCTCTGCGCCATGGTAGCGATGGGGATGAGCGCTGCAGTCCCCGACTCAGGAGTTCGGGAGCTGCCAGCGGTCAGGCACGAGGAGGTCCATGACGAGTACGGCCAGTACGCCCTCCGGTACATCACAGCGGAGAGTAAGTTGATATTATCAGTATTATTGTTGGCAGTAATAAGAGGGCATGTATAACATTTGTTTATAAACTAAGAGAGAACCTGCTTATTTGTGATGAAGTTTGATGGCATTCATGCTATGCCAGCGTTACTTTGGGGATAAAAGCACCAAAATAAATAAAGAGGAAAAATGAGAGGCTGTTGTTATTAGAGATTGGTAGTTATAAAAAATCTCTAAATACAGGAATATAAAAGAATGCGCGAGGTAAAAGTTATGTTATTAAATAAAATTGTATTGGTAATAACATGGTTTTAAATGTGCATGTCGACAATTGCTAAAGAGTTTCATGCGCGGCGCACATTTTTATTATCAGTTAAAATGTCCTGAATGGATGGAGGGAAAATATTATATTGGACGATACAAAAGAGTTTTTGATAGGATAGGAAAGTTCTTAACAACTTAGTATTGGCATTCGCAGTACCGAGATTGACCTGTTTTTGATACCTAACAATTAATTTATTTCGTGAGAAATATGAGGTACTCATGTTAAGTATTCAGTACCTACATGATGATGAATTAGGTTGCCAGGATCCGGGTATGAATTTGATGATGGTCTTTAATCTGTTTCAGATACCGTAGTCTCAGAGCGGGGCCGTTTGATACCCAGCCCCAATAGCGGGTACGTCCTGGAGATCGAGGGACAATACCAGTTCATCGGCGATGATGGCCAGCTCTACGTCACCAAGTACCGCGGCGGTCCCGATGGGTTCCACGTAGACGGTACCCACCTGCCAGAACCAGTGCCCATATTGCCTGCTTGAAGTTGATTCGAAACTCAGATGGTCTGTGATTTGAAGTTTGTGGTTGGCCCTTAAGAATTTTTTGAGGAATTTCAAGAAAGGTGGGATAACCAAAACTAACTAAAATTAAAATATTTATTTGGCTCCTATTTAGATGTTTCTTTTAAACCTATTTTAATTTGTTATTTTGCATGTGGTTTGTTTTTCCACTATATCTTCTAAAGGCCTGATCAATAGATAGAAGATATGGATGTATAAGTTATAGGTTAGTCATCATGAGTGAGTGATTATAGTATAAATTATCAAAACCAGTTCGTTGGCGACGACTGCTAGCTCTACGTCACCAAGTACCGCGGCGGTCCCGACGGGTTCCACGTAGACGGCACCCATCTACCAGAATCTAAGCCCATTTGCTGCTTGAAGTTGATTGATTGATTGACACAGATGTTCTGTGAATTGCAGTTTGTGGATGCCTCAGAAAACGAATCTTGAGTAATTTCATGAAAGGGCGGGATAATCCGAACTATAAAATTAAACCATTTCCATAAGCTCCCATTTGGATGCTTTTTGTAACGTTTATTGCCCATCTGATGGTAAGCGGCACCATAGCCTATGCTGGTGATACAAAAAATATCACTCGCGCCGTTGCCATTCGATGTATAAAGTATGGTTAGTTATCATGAGTGAGTGATATAGTATTATTATCTAATCCAATTCATTGACGACGGTGGTCACTAAGCACTGCGGTGGTCCCGACGGGTTCCACGTGTATGGCACCCACCTGCCAAAATAAGTGCTTGTATAGCCCGCCTGAATTTAAATTGAAACACGGATGTTCTGTTATATAAAGTCTGTCGTTGGTTCTCAAGAAATTTCTTGAAGAACTTCTTCCTTTTTCAACGGCGGGATAATTTCTAAACACCCCATTTCTACATTGTTAATAAATGAGGAAACATAATTTTAATCATGACATAAACTTCTGAGGAACTAATCAGATTTGGATGTATAAGGTATGGTCAGAATTCATACTTCATCATGAGTGAGTTTTATAGTATACATTACCAGTTAGGCCTATTTGCTAACTGCTTTTGACAGATGGAAGTGATAATCACCGAGCCATTCAGTGATCCGCTGCTGCTTTATTATAACGCCACTAAGATGGTGACCGTCTGAAAAGCATCGTTGAATATGCAATTTTCTCATTAGTTACACACTGTAAATGTCAAAAAAATTAGCGAATAGGCCCGCAGTTAATTAGTGTGGTGACGATGGACAGTTCTATTTCACCAAGTACTGGGGGCCAATCGCCTAACTGGATTGCTTTGGAAAACGCTATCGCTTACGATATCATTTTGTTATTTCTAGCCCCCTGAGGTTTTCAAATGCCTCGCGCTCTTTTTTTTTCTTTTGTATTGGTAATAACAATGTTAAAGAAAATGAGCGTGAGGTATTTCGGCGGTTAGAAATAACAAAATGAAATCGTAAGCGATAGCGTTTTCCAAAGCAATCCAGTTAGGCGATTGGCCCACTGTTCCCTCGTTTACGGGGTACCACGTGAACGTCATCCACCTGTCAACCGTACCTATGTTGCCCACTTGAATTTGAAAATGTATGTTCTGTCATTTGTAGTTTGTAGTTGGCTTTCAAGATTTTTTTTAGAAATTTTAAGGAAAAAAGCCAAAGCTAACTAAAAAGAAAACTAATTTGTTTCCGCTCCCATATTGATTTTTGCAGGTTACAGTCAAGAAGAGCACTAACAAACTTTTTTCAACGGTTGTAAGAAGTAAGAACTATCATCTTAAAAGATTGAAATAAAGCGAGTTACTTGAAAATGCGGTAGTCTTATAAGAGTGTTTGCCTGCAACTATGGTTTCAAGAATTCAGAATTTAAAGTCCTCTGAAACCCATTCTGTGAATAAGTTTGTATATATTTTTCGTGTCTATTACTGATTTTTAATTTTTTATCCGACCTCGTGTTTGATCTTGAACTTAAATACAACTCTCGCGTGTGAGGAATGTCACATAAACCAAACTGTCTAGTCTGTTGTGATGGATGAATTCAGACACCGCACAGACAAATAAATAATGACCAACCCTATGCGAGTGCATTTCGCGCTTCCTTGGATCTTACTATCTTCTGCCTCGCAAGTTGGAGTATTCTAAACTTTTATTCTTTGGTTAATTTATAAGAACAGATGATTTTCTCTAAGGTGAATAGGATTAAGATGAGAATAACCTATCTACTTCCTGTTTAAAAAAAAAGAATACTAGACATTTTCTTTTATTTGTTTTAGAGAAAAAAAATATGTTTCTAGTGAGTCTGTGCTGACCTTACTTGGTAGAATTCTGAAAGGATCTAAGGAGGGTGGCGAGAGGTTTCGAGGATGCGCTGGGGGGCGGGGGCTGCGCTGTGACGTCACGTCCTATCAGGGCGGCCATCTTGGATTATCTCGTCGCACCTGCGGGACGCGGGGGTTTCAGTATCGACCCACAGCGCCCTGCATTTTTCAGGGTAAACTTTGATAATGTCTGTCGAAATTGTTTTTTGATGGCGCTTGATGCCGTTTTTTATTTTCACACGTTTTTTATGATTTCCCCGAAAGATTAAGTAGATAGGTGTTTTGATTTAAAAGGCACTTTTTGAATTTGTGAACGGACCTTCGAAAGTAGGTAATACCGCTTTTTTATTCATGATTATAGTGTGAAAAAAGAGCATTTGGAAAACATTGTTTAGTTATGTAATAAATGGGGAATTTGAGAATTCATTTCGATGTAATTCTGCAAAATGAATTATAAGTGCAAATAACAAAAAAAAAACAGAGAATACTTACATATTATATGGTGGACTAAGAATACATTAGTAAAAAACCCTTGTTAAAACTTATGTTTACACTTACAAACGTATCTTAGCTTTGATACGACTTACAGTTAGATGTATCTATCTTTCTGCCTCAATAAAAACATAATTAGAATGTTCGGACCGGATTTCAAAATCAATAATTTGTCAAATCAAATTTATTGTAAACAATCTGGCTTTTAGAATAAATGGATTATGGAATCGAAAATATTTATAATTGAAACCACGTGTGTGTAGACTTTGTGTTAACTTCGAGACTATTTGGTTCATAAGGAAGGAGACCGCATTAGAAGTAAACAGTTCCTGTAATTTAGGACAGTGATATTATCAAAGGCTGTTCGAACAGACTTCGTAGATTGCACCAGCTGTGAGGAATTCCAAAGCTCGGTAATGATACAAGCAATCCCGGCATAGTGCTGGTCCAATTAACGCACTTAAAAGATGTCAACAAAAGATAACATATTTTTTAAACTAACATAGGTACTGTTTAGTGAGAATTGATGTAGCTGTTGTCATAAATAATTGATCCAAGAGATGCAATGTGATTTTTTCCTAAAAGAGGCACAGCTTAAGGAATTATTATATAAATGAAAAATTAGGATGCAAAGTCAGTTTAAGATATTATAAAGAAAGTTCAGGACAGTACCTTATTTACAAGTTGGATTGTTATTGTCTACCGAACGGGTTTCTCAGGACTTTAATTCTGAAATCATATGTAGGTATTCGGTATTCGGCCGAATATAATAAAAGCAGCCGAATAGGCCGAATACCGAATATTCGTTGCGTCTAGTAATAATATATTTTTCTTTAAACTCATAGTTTATGAGATATTTATGAAAAACCGCTTAAATCATGAATTTTTTGACGCAAAATCACAATCTTTGATCATTATTAACTCAGAAAGTATTGATTTATTTCGAAAACTTAATATAACAACTTTTGCTTAGAATTTGTCTTTCTATCGATTCCTGGAGTTATTTTTATTAAAATAAATTTTACCCCCGAGAAGAGGTGGTATCTACCCCTAGGGAAAAAGCGCAAGTTGGCACTATGTCACTTTTGTTTCATATGGTATCCCCCACCTCATCAGCATTTTTCATGAAAATCGATGGAGGTTCATCGAAATCGGAGGTTATAGCTGATTTTTGCCTTCATTGACTGTACTATTATGAAAACAAAGATTGAACTATATTTCCTTGATACTGTTACATGTGTTGTGTACTAACTCATTTAGATGTGATTATGGTTATGTCTGACTGACATGGAACCTACTCTTAAAGTGCCAACAATTAGGGAGTTTACCCTATAGTGTAATGTTTTCTTGTCTTATAACTATTAATTTTATTCAAAATGATTAAATGAAATTGGAACGATATAGCCCACGGTTGTACTGATACGATCGTCATTGTTTAAAATTATTGTTGATTTATTTATTGTCTCTAGTACGATTTGATTTGGCGGGCTATCTGAAAAACGGTTTTTTTTGTCTGACAGCTTCAAATTTGAGTTTTTTCAAATAATACTTTGGAACAATGTTAGGAACAACTAGAACAACTTGGAACAACTTTAAAAATAACGAATTTCCAAACATGGGGGGCTATCTCAAAAACGGTTTTTTTTGCCTGACAGCTTCAAATTTGAGTTTTTTCTAATAATACTTTGGAACAATGTTAGGAACAACTAGAACAACTTGGAACAATTAAAAAAGTATTTAATTTCAAAACATGGGGGGCTACCATAAAAACGTTTTTTTTTGTCTGGCAGCTTCAAATTTGAATATTTTCAGATAATACTTTGGAACAATGTTCGGAACAACTAGAACAACTTGGAACAACTAAAAAAATATTGAATTTCCAAACATGGGGGGCTACCATAAAAACGTTTTTTTTTTGTCTGGCAGCTTCAAATTTGAATATTTTCAAATAATACTTTGGAACAATGTTCGGAACAACTAGAACAACTTGGAACAACTAAAAAAATATTGAATTTCCAAACATGGGGGGCTACCATAAAAACGTTTTTTTTGTCTGGCAGCTTCAAATTTGAATATTTTCAAATAATACTTTGGAACAATGTTCGGAACAACTAGAACAACTTGGAACAACTAAAAAAATATTGAATTTCCCAACATGGGGGGCTACCATAGAAAAACGGTTTTTCTTGT